CTTTTCTTTATTTAAAAATTCTCAAGCCACGTGTGACTGAGGTGCTGAGAATTGAAATTGTTAAAGCAAATTATTTATGCATAACTATGTTTTTATATGAAGTGTTTACATTTATTTTCTAATGCTAATGCTTACAGGATGTAAAAATATAGTGTAGAATATATATATATTAAAAATATTAATAAATTATTTTATAGTTTATTTTATAATAACATAGTTAAATACTAAAAAATATTTTACAACTTATTTTTTATTATATTATCAAATATCAAAAAATAAATCACCTTATAATAATTTATTTTCTATAAAAATTACTTTTAACAAACAAAACTATTTTAAAACAGCTTAGTTGCTAATAATAAAATTATCTGTCATTTGATTCAATTAATAAAATTATATTTAACGGATTATTCTTTTTATCAATTTTATCTCACCTTACATAGAAAATCCTATTTTTGTTACTAGTGACAGTTATCAAGGGGATCCAGATGGAGAGTTTTCATACTGTTAATTCATTTCACCTTGCGCTGGCCGCTTGACTAGATTGTTAGTTGTCCGAATATAAATGGGTAGCAGCTTCTGCTGCGCACAACATTAAATAAAATAAAAAAGTGTTTTATTTTTTAAAATATTTTTTATTTTAAAATACTTTTTTAAAAAAATTATATCAAAAAATCAAAAATTAAATTTCTTTTCAAAATTTTTGAAAAATACAAGCCCACCAGATAGATGTGCCAGCCTTGAAATGGACAGTTCAATTATTTATTGTTACTTTTAATGCTCTATTACATTCTTACAGAAACCTTTCACAGTCCACATGATAATATAACTTTGTGCGGTGTAACATTGACTAGTATATAGTTTTTGTTGAAGCACTTGGAGGGATGATTGGGATCTGACGTTCTTCTTCTTAACACTCAACTTGAGGCCGGCAGCATGTAAACATTTAGAGATGTTACTCCTCAATTTTTTCCCTATGAAGTCTCATGCTGCTTTTCTTCAAAAGATTGTGTGATATAAAAGGAAATATCACAAAATGAATAAATCATTAACTTTCCATCGAGTTTTATGTTTCTGTGGGCTGCTGGCTGGCTGAGACGCTATTGGGCTCAGTTAAAAGATTTTAGCCTCGTATTATTATCTTTCACTGGGCTTAGATGCCTGATAACCTCGGCTCATGGACCCTTCTTATGCCACCTCATGGATAATAAGTGAGAACAATATCAGCAATTGGCATTGGGCGACTGGTCGTGGAGGAGCATAGCGTTGCAGCTCAGAGATTTAAACCAGGCGAGCCAGAAAATGTGAAAGAAGCAGTGCATTTTTGGCGTTGTCGATGGCTTTCGTGGGGGGGCTAAGCATGGTTTATTGTTAAGTTTTGCCATCTATATTCACATACTGTCATTTTCGATTCGGAATTTTCCAAAATTCATGCTGCAAAAACTCTTGTATAACAGTATAATGTTATCATTGTAATTTATTGCGAATTTGCGATATAATATGGATTTAACGATGTCAGATGAAACCTACACATATATGAAAGTGTATGGCCAAGTCAGCAACAAGAGTTTTGTAAGATAACATTATTCAAGAGCTTTTTCCTAAAGATATATACTTGATATAGACCGACCTCTTCTATGAATTTTATCCCTGAACGAATTTTGTAAGATAACATTATCCCTGATTCGTACAATTTGGAAACCTCTTCATCTTTGTAAATGCTGCTACGAGTTCCTCGTGTTTGGATGAATACTGAGAAGGGGAGAATTAAGGGTTTTACATAATTATTTTTTCTTACACAATTGAGTATTGAACATGGGTATACTCTTGAAACACAGGTTTGTTTGTGGAACTCGATAAAATTTGCGGTCCAACTACATATTAACAAAAAGCAACATTTTTCTTCACATGCAAAGGCCATTTACCCCAACAAAAAGCAATTTATTATTATTATTATTGTTCTTATTCCAATGTTTTTTTTTTTTCAAAAAAAGTTATTTTAATGCATTTCCAAGATACAGACACTATAAGAAACAATAGTTATCACTCTCCTATACACCCTCCAATCTCTAGAGAAATACCCTCCAATCTCTAATAATCTCTCATATTTCTCTAGAGTGAAAATCATAGATTCAGAAGCGATGGGCAGCACCATCATCATTCTCTCCACAACTCTCTGCTTATTCTCTCTGCCAGTGATCTGGTTTACAAAAAGAAAGATGAAATGAAAAACACAATCTGAGGTAAAGAGAAGGTGGGGATGCGGTGGGGGAGAAGCCACATATACAGAGAAAAAAGATTAGAGATTGACTCCGCAGTAAAAAGCAAAATGAGAAACTGAAAGATTGAAATTACTGTTTGAATCCAGGTAAACGCCACACTGCGAGCTCTTTTAGATTTTTGTTAATTAACTACTGTCTGTGCCCGGAATCAATGCTCTATAGGTGAAAAATGTAGGAAAATGAATATAAAAATCATGGTTTGAATCGTCAACGCAAATGTGTGTAGGAGCCTAATTTCCCTTCAAGTGCAAGAGAAATCTTTAGTTGTTTAAGAAAGGGCTGCCAACAGGGGAAGGGGATCGAAATGCATATCGAGAAGGAAAATGCAAAATAGCTGGGTGAAGGAGTGACGTTGTAGTAGAAGTTTAAGCAATCTTAGCACTTAATAAACATGCCGTTTAGTGATGATTGAAATGAAAGCATATATATATATATATAAAGCTCAAAAGGAAGCAAAATCTGAAGATTTCCATGTGGAAGTAATCGTTTTTCCTGAATCATCAGCTACTGGTAAAAATCCAAGCACAGACAACAGTGGAATTAAAGCAAAGTGAAGCTGGCAAATTGGCAATAGAGTTGTACCATTTTGCAAGCAAAGAATTCCCAAAGGAGATGGAACAGTAAAATTATCGCAAGATAGAGCTGAAAATTGACAATTGAGCAGTACCATCTTGCCTGCACAAATTACAAAAGGAGGCAGAACAACATAAATGTCTCATGTTAAAATTACAATCAAGAAAAAAAAAAGGAAAACAATGAAAAAGACCGTGTGAAAAAAAAAGGTTTCACCCGTGTGAACAAAAAGTTTCACCTCAAGCGCCTCGCTGTCAACTAAAATCTATGTATATTGCCTCTGCATCAATATTCTTCCTTGACGAGTTATTTCATCACAAACTCTCCTACCATCACAAAAATGACCAAGGATGGTTACTTTCATCCTCTATAGTTTCAGGTTCGAGTTCTTGATTGCTCGTATGATGATTATTGAAGGCTTATATAATTGTTAATTTTAGGACCCGTGGAATTAATCGTGGTGTGTGCAAGCTGACCAAACACTCACGTTAATCTAAAAAAACATGGATAATTAGTTTCATTTATTAATGTCCCTGCTTCCTTGCACCAAAGCAAACAAACTGATGCAGAAATGAGATATTAGGTCTCGATACGAGAACATGAGCATCAACAGAACTTTTAAGGATAATACAAGCCCAAGAAAGAAAAAAACACTTTGCGCACCCGCAAAAAACAAGTAATTACCTACGAACAAAGCATACACTTGTGTACTCCATGCCTGCAAAAAAAAAAAAAAACTGTTTCAGAGCCACTCCCATGGAGGTAAATTTGTTCTGAGCAATGTTACAAATTGGGTTTAGAGTGATATAAAAACAATGAGAAAGGCTTGCCAAACCTTGACAACATTTGGAAGACCAACAAAAACCCAAGGACCTTCACTAATCACGCAACCAAACACACCACCAAGATTAAGCAGACCCCTAAATTGCCAAAACAACAGGGGCAGCAACAACATCCGTAAAGCAAGTTTGTCACTGAACATTTAGCCGAGTGAAGAAAAAACAGTTGATAAAAATAACTTTCTTCTCTCAAGCAAATATCTAATTCAAATTGCAGTATCCGCAAGGAAAAACTACAGAAAAGAAAATATTGAAGCTTGAAGCAGCTCCACGCTAGCATCTTGCTTTTAAATATCTCAATATAACCATAGTCTTAGCTTCAGAAATTGGATAATTGATAAAATACAAACATCAGAGACATCAACTTGAAACAGCACATTACCATTCAACCACAGTTATTAATTCAATGTCTGCTGAAAATATTAGCTAAAATTCAAGGTGAAAATGGTAAAACTCAAACCTGTCCAGACTGGAAACCCCAAAATCTTAACAGTCTCATCCTTCGGACCCAGATGGCAATGCATCGCCAGCTCGCATCAAAACCCCCAAAATCAATCACCAAATCCAAAACCCATTACACAAAACACTAAAGAATCACAAAAAAATCAACTTTTGATGCCCTTCAAGTTGAGTCAACCCCTCACCTAAGCTCCAGAGAAAGCAAATATGGCTCCGCCATTTATCACCAAAATTACAATTCCCTTTTTATCCAGAAAATATGACCCTTATTCCCAAAGTGCCCCCAACTTTACAATAATTACTATTACTACCCCACCTCCCAGAAAACGACGATGAATCATTCCCCGTAAACCCTCTCTTTGCTCCTCCTCCCCCGTTCACAGATGCATGCGGCGGCGGCGGTGCTGGGAGTTCACGGTGGAGAGACGGACATGGGAATCTATTGCGCTTTCCAGCTCTCCAGTGGTGACAGAACTTCTGATACTGCTGGAGGTGATGATGATTTAACGTGTTGTTCACTGATTGGCCACCTCCTAATCTGTAAGCAACTCGGTTGTTTGTTATGGTGTTGCTGCATCCGTTGTAGTCTTTCTCGTCGCGGCACCCTTATCTTATTTTTCTTCTGCATGCTCGGTGCATCCTCTCCTCCGTCATCTGTCGGCTTGGCTTAGAAAAAGAAAGGGGAGAACTGAACATGGAGTAAAAAAAACGAACAAAAGAAACCATGCCCTCTCGCGAAAAGAAAATATTAGAAATGGAACTTGAATCACTGTATGAGACACGGTAAAATGCCTCACAATCACACTGTTCGACACGAACAAATTGAAAATTTATTTTACTTTGAAAATAACAAAAGTTGACAACACCGAAAGATAAAAACAGCAGTAACATGTAGATAGCGTAACAAGAACAAGCACAACAACAACATAGCTAGGTTTGAACTTTTTTCTTTTGTTAAATACTAATACCACAAAAAAGCCCTGTTTGCGAAGTCTTTAGGCTGAGGTAGTCATGCGGAGCCATAAGCAGACGGAGCTATATTATGGGTGCATATCCGAGAACAGCACCAAATATCTTGATTTCTTTCTCAGCCCGAATCTCGTAAGCATGTGTTTTGGCCCCTGCTTCGTTTTTCTCCTTTAAAAACTGGACCTTGTCACCAACTTTAAGGCTCTTGCTAGCAACAAAAGCGAGCCAGCCCTTTGAAATAACTGGTTTTGGATGTCCTTTCTTGCGAATTGAGCATCTGAAGGCCCAAACACGGCCACTTCCATCTACAGCTCGAAAATCTACAGCATGACCACCAGCATTAAAAGACGGAAGAGAGCTGAGAAACCTGGTCGGCACTGAGAGTCTCTTTTTAATATCAGTCTTCCGAAGCACCTTTGAAAATCTCGCCATTTGTCAAGACCGAGTGGGTGACCAAAGGAACAGTTGGAGAGGACTCAAATTATTGTGCTGTGTGCCCTGGAGCCATCTCAATTTATAGCAGTTATGTAACTTCCTTTTAGTCTAGCAACAAGTGGGTCCAGCAAACCGACTTCGTTCACACAGGAGTTAACCTTGAGTGATTTCTATTAGCTCATGAAGCATCCCACTCTTGAGGTCACTTTCGTGGCACGCTTTACCCAGCTAATCAATTTTTTTTTTTTTACACAACAAATATAGGCTAAGATTCAGGAGTGTTAAATCTACTTGCACATTTAGATTAAGAATTTTAACTTTCACTATTTAAGAATAATATTTATAATTTATAATATAAATTATAATATAAATAATAATATTATATTTATATAATTTAAGTTTAAGTGGATTTACCTCATATATATAACTATAAAATCATATCATGAAAGTATAAAAGCTAAATAAAAATAGGTTTATATTAAAGAATAAAATTAGTTAAAAAATAAAATATTATTTTAATAAATAGTATTTTGAGAGAAAAGATATAGTTAAACCTTCTTATAAAATTATAATAATCTAATAAAAAATAAATAAAATAAATTATGAAGTTTAATTTTTAATTAAATCGATATTAAAAAATAAAATTAAAAGAAAAAACTAATTAAAAAAATCTTAATCAATTAGATTAATTTGTTAAATTAAATTAACTTATTATACTTAAAATCTATATGATGAAAGTATATTAATTAACTAAAAAAATTATTAAAGTGTATTGTTTTGATACTGTATTGCAATACTGTTAACTATAAACATAGCATTGTTTCTTAGTGTTAGAATCTATGTAGAATCTATTTAGTAAGAAAATGTGATATTGAAATTTAGTGATTGTGTATGGATTCATGTATGAAAACTCTCATGTAAATCATATATATATATATATATATATATAAAGATACTCTATATATACACAAATAGATATAATTAATATGATTAATTTGGCTGAATTGTTTATTTAACTAATTTATTATTTATTAACTTAGACAGAATTTTTTAAGATATAATCCTTTTTCGATGATATATAAAACATTCCAAATTAAAGTTTATGTTCATGTCAGAACTACTCACTCAAATTTTTATGCGTGTTCCAGAAGATTTGCGAGAGCATAGTTTATTAAATTGTTTAAAAATATTTTTAAAATATAAAAATAAACAATAACATGATGTTTACATCTATTTTGAAATTCAAGTGCTCCGTGGGGTTTTAAAAATTAATTATTTTAAAAACATATTAATTTTTTTAAAAATTGTTTTGATATGTTATGATAAAAATGAATTTTAAAGAATAAAAATGCTTGAGATACGACAGTTGATCATTTCATTCTTTATTGGTGAGATGATATCTCAAATAACCCAAGCTTCATTCTTTTCTTTTGGAGTTACAATATAGCATTATGAGGCTGAGCGATAGGAAACTTGAACCCTAGCTCACTACCATTATCCCACCACAGGAGCAAATAAATAATAAGTTCTGTGTTTCTTCGAGTTTTATGTTTCCGTGGGTTGGTGGTTGAGATCACTACAGGGCTTGGTTAAAAGTTTTTAGCTTTGTATTATTATCTTTCACTGGGCTAAGATGCCTGATAACCTCGGCTCAGGTCCCCCCTTCTTATGGCACCTCATGGCATAATAAGTGAACAATATCAGCAATTGGCATTAGGCGACCGGGTGTGGAGGACCAAATGTGAAAGAAGCAATGCATTTTGGTGTGGGATTCTGTTAATTTATATATGTCGAGGTATGTTATGCAATTGTCGTAAACCATGCCAATCAAAACTGTGAGCTTATCACATTATTCAATTTTTAATAGTCAAAGCGAAGGCAATTTTTTTTATAGTTTATACAATAAAAAAATAAAAAAAATCTTGTAGAGCACTAATATTTTTAGAGTGGATTGTGAAGATAATCTGGGTGAAGTTGGCTTTTAATTTAAACCGCACGATACACTCGCTTGACCAGGCAAGTGGTCCCTTTTACTGTTTATAAATAATTATTTTTTATCAACATATTTTAGGCTTGGTTTGAATTTTCGGTAAAATAATTTTTTTCTGTAAATATTAATTATTTTGTCAATTTATTTATTTATGAATTAAAAATTTGAACAATCTTCTTCTTTAACCTAAATCACTTCTTTTTATACAAAAAAATTATATATTTTAAAGTAAAAAATTATGACTGTAATTTTATTTTATAATGGATAATTAAAGCTAATAAATGCTTTAGCTATGATATAAAATTGTTAACCCAGTAAATAAAAATATATATTAAATTATAAGTGAGTGTTTAAAAATATAGTAGTTAATTTCTTTTTTTGATGGGTTTCAAAAATATATTGTTATTTGAAAAGTATTTTTAGTATTGTTCAATAATTTTAATGTATTAATATAAAAAAATATAAAAAATGTTTTTCTAAAATTATTATACATAACAATACAAAATCCACTACTTGTTAATTCACTTATCTTTGCCCTGTCGATTGTCACTCTCCAAAATTCATGAGTATAAGGGGCCATGAATCTTATTAGCCCTAATTAATGCACGGAAACGGAGCTAGCTATATTATGAATATTCTGGTAGCACTAAAGACGGCCACTTGTTTGCTCGGGATGCATAAAGTCTTTAGGACAGGGTAATTGGGTATGTGCACTCATTTTATTGAAAAATTTTAAAATTTAAATTTTTTTATTTAAAATTAATATTTTTTATATTATTTTAATATATTAATATCAAAAATAATTTTTTAAAACTAAAAAAATATTTTAATATATTTCTAATTAAAAAATATTTTAAAAAATAATCAGCTCACCCTCCCGCGTGCACCCTTTTTATATTACAAATGTCCTTTTATTTTAATTTCTAGAATATGAACAGTCTTTACAACACAATGGCACCACTCATGTAACTCTACTGTAGTTTATGAACAGTATGATGATTGTCCGAATGATTGGGACACCTTGATTTGGTTCGAGTCGGTGCAGCAACACCTACAACACCTACGTCATTCGACTGACAATGACAGCCTCATCATTACTCGTGCCCCACATTTTTATATGATTTTTGCCGTTTCTTGATTGGCATTGCCTGTTTATTCTGCTTTCTAAAATGATTTCTATATTTATTTATTAAAAAATATGTTTAAAAATAACCTTCAGGGAACTTTGACCTCGTTGTGCAGCCTTATACCCCAATTTACTCGACAACTAGTCACAGGGACGCACGTGTAAGAGGGTCTTATTTGAATACAATAAGCTTAAAAATATTTAATGCCGACAATTTATTATCAACCGAAGCGAAAATGTGTTCTAAGTTTGAGAGAATAAAAGCTGAGGCAATAGAAGCTTCCTCAGCTTTTATCAAAAGCTGCATGTCCAAGAAACAAGATAATTATAAAAATAATATTGAAATTGATAGGACTTCATGTCCCCCTTTTTATGGCGGCACCTCAGGGGATAATAAGTGAACAATGTCAACAATTGGCATTAGGCGACTGGGTGTGGAGGAGGAAAGCGTAGCAGCTCACAGATAACCTGTTTTTTTTTTTTAAAAAAAATATTTTTGTTATTTTAATATTTTTAAATTATTTTGATTTACTGATATTAAAAATATATATTTTTTAAATAAAAATTATTATATTAATATATTTTCAAATAAAAATTATTTTAAAAATAATTTCTACAATATTTCTAAACCCCATAAACCAGGTCAGCTAGAAAATATG